AGCTTTGTAACGCGCCAAACTTGCTTCATGTTCCTCCCTAAGTTTTACTTGTTCCTCACCAAGCCTCTGCATTGCCATTTCAGATTGCTCATTTGCCTTCCTCTGCTCTTCATTTTGCACCCTTTGCTCCTCAAGTGCTTGTCGCAGGGTATGAACCTCTCTTGATATCCCTCTTCGGTCAGTTATTATCCCAAGGACATCCACCCATGACACTCCAGCTCCCTCAAGAAGTCACTCATTTTGATTTGCTATGTTTGGGTTTGAGGGTGAGTTGGTTGGAAGTGGTTTCGTTCTTCTCTGTTCATATGAATACAAAGGTTCTCTGTTTTATAGTGGCATTCTCCCACCTATTTGAACTTGCATATTTTGAATTCTTTAAACCAGCGGGAAAGTTTACCAAAGCAAACCAGCGGGAAAGTTCACCAATGCCAATAATTAAATATTACTTTTGCTACTGTTTGTCATTCAAACCATTCAATATATAATTAAATGGAAGAGACTAGCATTCACAATCAACCATTCAATATAAAATTAAATGGAAGAGACTAGCATTTACAATCAATATCCAATTTAAGGCCAAATGCCAAAACTGAGTGAAGGGGAGCCAAGCCAGTTTGTAAAGGGAGCCAGCCACGTCTCTTTGTGTGATTTGTGAGTTGAGTCAATTGAGCTGCAGCTTCCTTTGACAAATTGGGACTGATAATGACAAGTTGGGACTGATAAAAAGGATCAAATATTAAAGGAAAATCATGAAAATCAATGTTTTGTATTACACACCATTGACTATCCCAAATATCTTTAATAGGCATGGTTTTGGAATTAGTTTCCAAACAAAATTCACAAGACACTTTTATGAAATTGTATCTAGAAAATCAGTGTGTAGTGGCCATATTCTAGTAGTGATTAGATACAATCTATTATTAGCACGCATCAACCCTAAGGTGAATATCTTCAAAATAACATCCTTAACATGGAGAGTCATCACTGCAAGGAATTCATGTGGTTTTTGTATTTTTTTGTAGCAAGTACTTGTAAAGTGCATGAAAAAGCTATTATCATCTAACCATCAAATCCTTAATTAAAAAACACTAAAACATAACTCAATCAAATGTAGATGCAAACACATTAAAGAAACCCATCAGAAAATTAAACAAAAGCATACCCATATAGAAAATTAAAAAAGTAAAACTCATCCGTCCACACCTTCTGAATTTCACTCTTGATTTTCTTTAAATAGATGCAGCCTACAACCCAAGGAATCATTTACTTAAGCACTTAGTGGAAACAAGATAAGCACAAACCTACTACTTGATTGACAGATTGATTCGTTTGGTGCTAATTCTTCTTTTTTCTACAGCAACAACAAAACGAACATTTTCTTATACGAGACTTAATAAAAATCAGCTTCGAAACAAGATAGGTGATGAATTTCTTGTTGATTGTATGTGTTGAGGCCCAAAAAAGTCATGAGAAGCCCAAAGACATTTAAAGCCCAATATAACATATAATGTTGGTCATGCATTAATCTAAGCTGTATTTTGGGAATTAATTCATTAAATAAATATAGAAATAGTGTGCATGTCATTGTAAACTTTATTGACTGCACATAAGTAGAACACATATCTTTGGTATGTCATAGAAACTGTCGAAATATCAAGAATATACACAAGAGCTCTTCTCCTCAATCTGATCCCTCATACACTCATTCTAGATGGGGTGAATTCTTTTGTGTGGGTTGGCTTGATCGGTTGAGCAGGGGCACTTGTATTTATATGCATATTCCTAAGAGTCTTGCCCATCAAGAAACTCTTAAGAAGTCTTTATTGCATTAGGTTTATAACTTCTAATCCACAATTAAGATAGGAATCCTTCTAGCTCTTATATTAGCCTTAAAACACTAACTTTAATAGAGCTGCAGGTTTAGTTGTATTTGAACTCCTAATTGATATCAAGTCTTAGAATCCTTTGATGATTATAAGACCACACTTTAATGGGTTAGACATCTACACGTCTAACAAAGGCATGAAGAGCATGGGGTCTTCATATTTCACTACAAGTTTTGCGGTTGGGAATTTTCTAAGTAGTTTTCTTCTAAAAACAGTTTCTGATGTGACCAAAAGACATGGACACAAAGGCGGCTGGGTCTTGGACAATTTGAATGCCTCGCATTTGGACTATTACTATGCATTGTTGGCTGCCTTGGTCTTCCTTAACTTCCTATTCTTTCTGGTTGTTGCCAAGTTCTTTGTTTATAATGCTGACATTTCTCAAGCCAAGGTAGCTGTGGAATCTTAAGAGGTGAAGACTTGAAGACTGGACTAGTTAAGCTGATCATGGATTAGAAGCTTTTTTTACAAATATGTTCCTTGCTTCTCAGTTAATTAAGATCAAATAAAATCCAACTAATTTATTTTGGTCACTGTAAACCCAATCAAAGATTTCCATGGCGCAAGATGAAACCGATTTCTCTTAAGAAAAGTTCTAGTATTTTGAGACCGTTTACATCTCTTATAGAAGTGAGACCCATATAAAACTCATCTATGCGGAAACGTCTTATCTGAGTTAGAATTGCATTAGCTACAAAAAACAAGTGGCAAAGGCATCCAGCCTCCTTAAAATCTTCAGATTCTTCACCATGACTAATGCATACGTCTGTCTTTTCTTATGATACATTTCATTTTTTATAGCAAGTTGATGTAGATTGATTGATATAAATAAATAAACAAAATGAAGAAAGAAAATTATTTTTGGATTTCGCATATTCATGACCGGCTAATTTTGATTCCATGAAAGTGATGTTCCATACAAAACAAACACTTTACAGTGGCATGAGGTTAATTTCAAATGTTAGAATATGATTAATCACATGTGGCCTACCAAAAGAAGGATGAAATTAAAGACACGTCTCAAATTAAAGGTGACAGCAGATCATAATCTTTCGTTTTTTAGCACCTAACTTTTTGGTTAATTTTGATGTGACATGGGTATTATCAAACTTTAGGATCGTTTTCTGAAATATTTTTTATTAAAAAAAAGAGAGGATCCAAATCCTTCGATGGTTTGTAGTTCGGGGCTTGTTCTTCTAGTACTTGCACAAAGATCCTAAGTCGGCTATTTTTTCTTGTTTTTTGTTAAACATTTACTAGTATAAGAGAAGGCGAACAAGTTAGAGTTGAAAGAAAATCGACTAGCTTATAATTTCGTGAATGATTAACAACCGTTAATTAATACAAATTTTATATTTATTAATGGTTACTAGTAGTCACCCACAAGACACTACCGTTAATAAAGCTTATAGGAGAAAAACAAAAAATGTGACCAACAAAGTGACAGGAAATAAATCTAAAATGTTGGAGACAACCAACTAATTAATTACCTGTCCGAAGTCTTTTATAAAAAGCTATGAGCTAATCACATGACTTTCAAGTCCCCAAGTCCCTAGTCATTTCATTAAACACATGATGGCAAGTGTAGAAGAGAAAGGCTCTGCTGATGGAAGAGAAGATCACACACAAGATGGGACTGTGGATCTCAAAGGTAGACCAATTTTACGATCAAAGACTGGGAGATGGAGAGCTTGTTCCTTCATTGTAGGTATGTAATGTACTCCCTAGTTTTTGTTCTTCAAATAGTGTAAGGGCCCCTTAGCTGGGAGCAAAACGTGCATATCCCGGAGGTATACATCTGTTTGTAAGTTTATTTATCTTTTCACGTGATTTGTCGCATAAGGAGATAATTAGACTGAGCATGTGTTAAAAAGTAAGTCTCGTGGTCAAAATCATCCTCCGTTTCACTATGACGAATCAATATGTATGATTTTTTTGTTGCTGTTGGGTGTGTTTGATTAATTTGTAGGATATGAAGTGTTTGAGAGGATGGCATACTATGGAATTGCATCAAACTTGGTGATTTATTTGACAACGAAGCTCCATGAAGGCACCGTAACCTCTGCCAACAATGTTACCAACTGGGTTGGGACTGTGTGGATGACACCTCTGTTGGGAGCTTATATTGCAGATGCTCATCTTGGCCGCTACTGGACTTTCGTTATTGCTTCTGCCATATATCTTGTGGTACGAATTAACTCAATTCCAAGCACTTAATAAATTATATCCACATGCATATACATAATTTATCATTTCTTATGATAGAACTTGCATGCCAATACATATGCACAAGTATATATGGATCATTAATTGTTGAACAAACCACAAGCATTATATATAAGTGATAATTTTCTGCTTAAATGTGATCACATCTCACCTTGGTGACGTGCAAGCTTATTAAGGGTTTTCTGTTTTTGTTTTTAAAAAAAAGTTATACTAAAAGGTTTTGGATCACAGATAATTTACAAGAATGAACTTAGTTGGTATCGAAAAAGGTGACGATAAAATCACCCTTAACTTATCTCATGCACTCCTCATTTGTGAGTGGTATAAGAGCATGTGAGGTTATAAGAACAAACCTAGTTGGTATCGAAAAAGGTGATGATTTTGGCACTTTAAAATCACCCTTAACTTATCTCATGCACTCCTCATTTGTGAGTGGTATAAGAGCATGTGAGGTGAGACTTGAAGTGTCAAAATCATTCCCCATCGGATATCATGATGACCCTTTTGCTATGTTTTTCCAAGATAATGTATTTCTCGTTGTATATTTTGGGATATAATTGGAAGTTTGATCACACATCACAAGCCTCCTCATGCACTTGCCTGCCTCTTTAACTTTTCCTATCCAGTTAAGAGATTAGTTGATCATGACAATTTTAAATATGAAGCAGATTCACAATTTCACCAATATGCCTAATAATTAAGAAAGATCAAGCTGAAAATTTTGGCTTTTGGGCCATTTGGTCCCTATCTGGCTTTAACAATCTATGCATTACATAATTTTTTTCACTGTATCTATACATGAAACTCATAATGCTCCTCTTGGTTACCAATTAGGGCATGTCCCTATTAACCCTAGCAGTTTCATTACCTGCCCTAAGGCCACCATCATGTGGCAGTGAAGATTGTGATAAAAGAGCCTCACCATTCCAAGTAGGCATATTCTATTGTGCATTGTACATAATTGCAATTGGAACAGGAGGGACCAAACCCAACATCTCAACCATGGGAGCAGATCAATTTGATGAGTTTGAGCCCAAGGAGAGGACCCAAAAGCTATCCTTTTTCAACTGGTGGATGTTCAGCATTTTCTTTGGGACCCTTTTCTCAAACACCTTCTTGATTTACCTACAAGACAATGTGGGCTGGGCTCTTGGCTATGGGCTTCCAACACTTGGGCTTGCTCTCTCTATTTTGGTGTTTTTGTTGGGCACTAAATTTTATAGGCACAAATTGCCTTCTGAGAGTCCTTTCAGTAGGATAGCTCATGTGATTGTGGCTGCTCTAAGAAAGTGGAGGGTAACAATCCCAGATGACCAAAAAGAGCTTCATGAGCTGAGCTTGGAAGCGTACACAAAGTCTGGGAAATTCAGAATTGACCACTCCCCTTCGTTAAGGTAGATCCAAATGACCCTAAACAACATTTTTAATAGGATTGTGATGTGGTCTATATAATGTAGTCAATAAATGCGATACAAATAGTTTTATTTTGGTAAACCTAAATATAGCTAACATTTTATTACCTGCAGATTTCTCGACAAAGCAGCTGTAAAGAGCGGGCTAACCTCACCGTGGATGCTATGTCCAGTGACGCAAGTCGAAGAAACCAAGCAAATGATCAAAATGGTTCCGATTCTGGTAGCAACATTTGTGCCAAGCATGATGTTAGCTCAAGGAGGAACACTTTTCATCAAACAGGGCACAACACTAGATAGAAGCATAGGTCCCAACTTTGAGATCCCTCCAGCATGTCTCTCAGCATTCATAACAATCTTCATGCTGATAAGCCTTGTAGTCTACGACCGCCTCTTCGTCCCATGGATCCGGGGCTACACGAAGAACCCTAGAGGGATCACATTGCTGCAGAGATTAGGCATTGGCCTTGTGATACATGTCGTGATCATGGTCACAGCTTGGTTGGCTGAAAGAAAAAGGCTGAGTGTCGTAAGAGAACATCAATTGTTTGGGAAAAAGGACACACTTCCTCTCACAATTTTCATTCTTTTTCCTCAGTTTGCTTTGTTGGGGATTGCCGATTCTTTTGTGGAAACAGCCAAGATAGAGTTGTTCTATGACCAAGCACCCCAAGGCATGAAGAGCCTTGGGACCTCATACTTCACAACCAGCTTGGGAATTGGAAGCTTTCTTAGTAGTTTTCTTCTCTCAACAGTTTCAAACATCACCAAGCAACATGGCAGGGGTTGGATTTTGGACAACCTAAACATCTCTCATTTCGACTACTATTATTTGTTCTTGGCTGTCTTGAGCTCTCTCAACCTGCTCTTCTTCCTCTTCGTGGCGAAGTACTTTGTTTACAATGCAGACACGACAGAACCGAAAGGAGACTTCGCCATGGAAACTTTGCCAAACAAACCTCCGTCTCAAGCTCAAACCGAAGCCTCAAATGCTTTACTTTTAAGCTGATAAAATGTTTCTTGTGTTTGTACAAAGGAAAACACAAAACTATAACAAGATATATAAACTTGAAGACCAGGTTTCAAACCTAAACAGGCTTCATTCTGTTGGAAGAACAACAATCATTAACGAGGCAGTAAAATAAAAAGGTTGCAGTGTCCTATAATTAATTAATTTGGTTTAATTTAAATCATTGAGCCCAAGAGCCCCAAGGTCTAAGGCCCATCTTTTAATTAATTAATTAATTATATATATATATATATATATATATATATATATATATATATATTAATTAATC